TAGTACAAGATAACTAGAACTCCTAAAAGCACAAAGCAAGCAGCATTGGAGCATTGAGTAAACATAATCAAGCATATCTCATTCAGGCCATCCCTGACTAATCTGTACTAGCATGCAGTTCTCAAAAAGGTGATACACATATAACAGGCACATAAGGCAACCTTCCTAGATCCTTTGTCCTAATATAGCATTTCGTTCTCATAAACATATCATAACATAAACTTGTATGGGTAATTTGGGAGTACTTACTTGAGCTCGACTGATTGCAGGCACCACACCCTTTTCTCTTTTCAAAGTTCTTTTTCTCTTTTCAAAATTCTTTTTTAAAATTCTTTTTGAAATGATTTTCTTTGAAAAAATTTTCATTCTGATTCCTTAGTTTGAGTTCAGACACACCCGAGGGTGTGCCCGGATCCCTCAAACCAAGGCTCTGATGCCAACTTGAAACATCCCAAAATACGGTCCACAAATTTCGTTTTAAAAATCATTTAAGAGAATCATAATTCATCAAACATCACAATAAAAACATAAGTTATGTGTCTCAATCATCATAATAAAATATTGTATCAAAATATCAGAGTCGAAACATCCTAGTCTAAAAGTTGTGGTGTGTGCCATGCAGTCATCCCAAGCTCTTCCCCTTATTAGCGGAAGTACCTGAAACCAAAACTGAAAACTGTAAGCACGAATCTTAGTGAGTCTCCCCAAACTACCACATACCATACACATAATCACATAATAACATGCATTGGGCCTTGCCCGCTACATCGGGCCTCGCCCGGCATCGGACCGAAGTCCGGCATCGGCCCCGCCGGCATCGGACCGAAGTCTAGCATCGGGACCCCCCCTGCATCGGACCTAAGTTTGGTATACATATATCATATAAACAAGCATATAACATAAACACATAACATAAAATATAAACATTCCTCGGGCTTGCCCCGACATCGGACCGAAGCCCGGAACATATAAACATAACATATAGGGTAAACATTCCTCGGGCTTGCCCCGACATCGGACCAAAGTCCGGAACACATAAACAAACACATGCAACAATCACGAAGACATCAAGCATACAAACATTCCTCGGGATTGCCCCGGCATCGGACCAATTTCCGGAAACATATAAAACTACATCGGACTAACCCCGGTATCACCAACATACATAAACGGGCAGGCCTTGGTGCCTTAGACCCGTTCCTACTGGAAGAGGACTCACCTTTTAAGCTGGCTGCTAAAAATCTCGAGCGAGGAATCTCTAATGGCTGCTCCAACGACTCCCCGACTATCATTATCACAATAATCACTTAGTCAAAAACTGAGAAGGTCATTTTACCCCTGGTCAAAGACAACATTCTGGCCAAAGTCAACCTTATGGGTTGACCCAACTCGCCGAGTTGCTCCATCAACTCGCCAATTCCTAGAATCCTGAAATCGCAATATAACTTGTCGAGTCACCCCCTGACTCGCCGAGTTCCCTGGCTACTCATAGTCGCGATTTGGCGAATCAACTCGTCGAGTCCTTTCACCGACTCGTCGAGTTCTACCTTAAGCTAAAACAGGACAATACGACCCAACTCGTCGAGTTCCTCTATGGACTCGATGAGTTCCTCTGTCTGATTGTCAATCTTAACAGATTAAGCCTCTGCTCTCCAAATCCAAAGTCCATACTTCATCTACATACTGGAAATCCCCTTTTAAGGGTAAAGTTTCCAACTTTACCCGTTAATAATCCTTCAAAATGGGTTTAGCTAAAACCCTAGTTCTTTTAGGACATAGATCTTTGTCCAAAAGCTTTATTACCCCAACCCAAAGCATGAAAACCGAGATCTAAGTCCTAGACACCAAATGAACACGTAAAGTCTCAGACTTCCCTTCCATGCATGGCCTTTTGGGCTTAAAAAGGCCATACCAACACCTTAAAGCTTGCATGGGGGCTTCAATGGCATAAAGTTTGCACCTTTATGCCTTAACAACCCTTAATGATCCTAGATCTGAAAGGATCCTTGCTTGGGACATCCATATCCCAAGGGTCAAGCTTCTTGAACCAAAAACCCTCAAAAAGTGGAAATAAGGAGATCTAATGAACTAATAGACAAGTTAGAGACTTGATTACCATAAAGTGAAGGGAAGGAGATGTTGCTTCTGGATCTACAATCTTCTCTTGGAGTCCTCTAGCTTCTTCTTCTTCTACAAGCTTCAAATCACACAAGATCACTCAAAAATGGCTCACACACTCACACAATGCTCTAGGGTTTCGTGGATTAGGGTTTGGGACTTGGAGGTTGGAAATGAGGCCAAAAGGTGGGGATTAAGATGCTTAAATATGGTGCAAAACCCCAAAATTAGGGTTTCACTCTGGCAGACCTACTCGCCGAGTCGAGGGCTCTCAACTCGTCGAGTAGATAGCTTAAAACCCCGTGTCCAAATCTCGTTTCTACTCGACGAGTCTGAGGCTCCCAACTCGTTGAGTAGCTCTACTAAAATGAATATATTATAAATATATGCGTACCAGAAACCAGGCGTTACAATTCACTAGCGACCAGATATTGTGGGAAGTGTTGTAAGACTGCAGGGGTAGTCGTAGCATTCATTAGCGGTTAGATAGGGTGGGAAGTTTTGTGAGACTGCATGATGACCTGTAGCATTCTCAGATTCTTTCAGATGATTAGCCCAAGGTGGTCCAGTTCGCAAGATTGTGGGTGGACCACAACATGATCTGAATCAGAAAACAGCAGGTCGTTGGAGACCGGGCAAGATGTAAGACTACAATGATTCTGGTAGCATTCACCTTTTGCATTGGATTTGGTGACGACAGGTTGTCAGCCTATTATGATCGAATGGACCAGAAGGATTGATGGAGCCATGAGTGGCGGTATAGCTAGGGCAGTTATTGGTAGTCGAAGTTTCCTTCGGAAGTCGCATGGGGCGACTATGAGATTGCTCTTGGCTCAACAACCGGGCAGGACTTCAGTATTCCAGATAATTTGGGACCAGGAAGGTCTCTGTGGATTTTTGGAAGCAACCTGAAGGAAGCCTACTGTTTTCGACAGTTTCCGTGTTTAGGGCAGTATTAGCGATTTGGGTTTTCGTGTGTATGAGAAGTATCTGGGTGTTTGGGAAATGCTAAGTCACGCAGTGGGATTAAATAATCTCAGAGTGATTGATTTGAACATGCTGCACAGCTCTCGTCTGAGTCTAACTGTTGTAGGGATGTATCTTCTACTCAAAGGATTATCTGAGCCTTGGCCAAGTATAAGTGATCTGCATGGATAATTAGGTCTGTGATTCTATTTTCCAGTGGGAACCTCCAGTTATCAGAAGTTGAATAGTTAGTTGAGAAATGAGTGGACTGGATTCAACAATAATGATTAAGTATGGGCGGTCTGTCATGGATTCAGACCATCTCAATACTACAGATTTCAGACTGAGTAGAGGTGATCATGTTGCAAGGAATTCGTTCATCTTTGGGTTTTAGAACCCTGTGAGGGATGGTTTTAGTTGCCTTGGAAAGGATAGGGTATGCTTGTGGTTGTGGTCGTGTTGCTGAAGTTGTTTGGTGTGTCAGGAGTGGTAAGGAATGATTTCGAGGACGAAATCTAATTTAAGTGGGGGAGAGTTGTAACACCCCGTTTCCAAGGCAAACCCTAAAATCCGAAGATGTGTTTTACGTATTATTTTATTTCGATATATGTATATATTTTAAAATATAGAGTTTGGTGAAAAAGTGTGTAATTGGCATTATAATTTGTTTTGGAGGTCTATAGAGTGCTTTTGGGGTTCGTAGTGGAAAGAATATTTGAACATATGGCTAAAGGATAATCAATTGGGCTCGTTTTGTAGTTTTTGGACTTATATGGAAAATATTTTGTAGAGGAGGGGCTATTTGGGTAAATTTGGATTTAATTTAAAAGAAAAAAGATATGGAAGGGCTGAATATGTCATAATTGAGATTTTGGGGGTTAAAAGGGTAATTTCTGGATTGGCTTTGCAAAGAATCTCGAAAGCTAAGGGGTGTTTGGTAAAAGTTGGACTTAAATTGGAAGAATTATGGAATGTCGAGGGCTGATTGGTAACTTAGGGATTGATTTTGAAAAGATTATGAATGGGAGGGGTTGGAAGTGTCAAATCCGTATGAAGTTGTATGGGATACAGGTTTAACCTGTTACCTTCATTTAGCCTCCATATATATATATATATATATATATATAATATATATAATATATATATATATATATATATATATATATATATATATATGTATATATGTATATATATAGACTAAACTGCACAAATGGTCCCTGTGGTATGTCGAAAATTGCCACTTTGGTCCAAAAAGGTTTAGACTAGCACCAGTGGTTCAAAACTTTCATTTTGTTGCGTCTTTAGTCCAATCTGTTTTGATTTTTTTCAAAATGACGGATCTGCCCTTGTTAATATATTTTATCTTTTTTCTTATTTTTTCTTTCTGATTTTCAGATTTAAAAAAAACATTAAAATAAAAATAAAAATAAACATCTCTATCTCTCTCTAAAAAACAAGAAAATAAAAATAAATCTCTCTCTCTCTCTCTCTCTCTCTCTCTCTCTCCTTCCCTCTTCGTTTGTTCTTCCCTCAAGAACACTTCGTAAAGCCCAGAAAAAAAAATTAAACACAGAAAAAAATTTAAGCCAAAAAAATTAAACCCATTCTTCAAGTGGGTTTTGCAAATTAAATGATGGTGAGCTGTTGCAACAATGTAATGGGAAAATCAGGCGAGTGAAGAAGGCAGTGGGGTTTGGGTTTTCTTTTGCCGACGATGCGATAAAGAGAGCTCCGATTTCTTGGAGCTCCAAAAACGGACGACCACCCATCCGTTATGAACCAACACACCACCGCAGTTATCACATCTCCGATCTCCCCCTCAGACGAGTCGCCTTCGAGTCGCACACGATGGAGCCAAAGCCGCATGTTAAAGCAAGCCCTAGTGTCACCGCCTGTGAAAGCACGCCCTAGCACACATGATGCATCACCACCAACAAAAAAGCTCTTCATCACCACCACTGGAAACCCTAGCTGCGCCTCCTGTCCAAACCATAGCGCCGCCATCAGATGAGAACAATCTCCATGAAACCCTAGCCGCCATGAACATCCTAGATCTGTGTCTGAGGGAGTATCAGATGAAGAAGAAGCATAGTTCGCCAGTGAACTTGAATCGGATGCACGAGGGATTTGATTCAAATGGCGCTATGAATATCTCAAACTGGATGAACGAATGTGATGGTGGCAGAGTGGGGACACGCTGAAATTGAATCAGATGCAAGAGGGATGAGAGGAACATATCTATGGTTTGAGGCCATATTCTTTTGATTTTCATACTCATATACTAAAACCAAAGAATATTAATGGTGTTAAGGTTTTAGATGTGGGAGGTAGACGACGACTTGAGAGAGAGAGAGAGAGAGAGAGAGAGAGAGAGAGAGATTTATTTTTATTTTATTTTATTGTTTTTTTTTTTAATCTGAAAAAATCAGGAGAGAGAGAGAGATTTATTTTTATTTTTATTTTTTTTAAATCTAAAAGTCAAAGAAAACAAATAAGTAAAAAAAAAATCATATTAACAGGGGCAAATCCGTCATTTTGAAAAAAATCATAACAGATTGGACCAAAGACGCAACAAAATGAAAGTTTTGGACCACTGGTGCTAGTCCAAAACTTTTTGGACCAAAATGGCAATTTTCGACAAACCACAAGGACCATTTGTGCATTTTAGTCATATATATATATATATATATATATATATATATATATATATATATATATATATATATATATATATATATATATATAGAGAGAGAGAGAGAGAGAGAGAGCTAGGTTTAGGTATTTAAAGTAATTATTGTGTTATTGTTTGTATAAATGTGGGTCAATCAAAATTAAATAAAAAATTAAATAATTAAATAAATAAATAAGGGTAATTTAGTAATTTGTTTAATAACTTCCAAAAATAATCCATATAATCATGGTATTGACTTTTGTTGAATCTCGTTCCCCTCTTTATCTAAAAACCAATTCTGAAAATCCTAAATTGAGCAATTGATGGAAACGAGATTTAAACGCAATACAGGTCTCTCGGTCTCGTCGAGCTCGAAATCCTCCGGCGCAGCGGCACTCCGGTCGACACCAGCGACCCTTTGTGGGGTTGCCCTTCATCGTCTCCCACACCATCATGTTTCGACTATGGCCAGCATTCGATTGCCACCGGAAGACACCGATATCTCACAGGTACGGCTGCCGGTAACCGCCGATCTGATCTCCGATGACGACCGCTCTGTTGCTGCCGACTCTTGGTCCATTAAAAGTGACTACATAAGTACTCTTGACGATGATCAGCGTCATGCTGACACATCAGAAGCTCTCGGTATGCAGTGGTGTTACCAAGCTTTTTCCTACCAAAATCCACAATTACAAACAGCAGATTGAAAGCAAAATAAATATCGAAAGAGACAAAGCTACAGGTAATTGCCTCGTTTCCAATTTCTATTCTTGCATTTTTATCCCCATAATTTCGCACACAGTAAGCTTCAAAAACTTTTAATATCATAGAATGCAATTAGAATTGATCTTGTAGAATCAAGAGTAATCACGATGGTTTTATAAACCTATGTTTAGATAAACCATAAGGAATCACAATATGTGGTTCAGTTTTTCAGATTTCGCAATATGTTGTAATTTGTATATATATATATATATATATATATATATATATATATATATATATATATATATATATATATATATATATATATATATATATTCAGTTAGAATTTGAGATGAATAACAGTATCATGGAGAGGATGTGTTGTGAATATGTTTATTAGTTAAGCGGAAAACATTTACTATTCAAGAATTGTAATATATTCATCTTCATCGAATGTTATATTTATATACTTATTAAATGGTTAAATTCAAATTTTAAAAAGCAAATTCTTTAGTATTAATCAAATATTTGATTCAGATGGTGGGACATTACACCACTATTATTCCCCTTTTTTGATTAATTGAAGTAAATGATTTTGTAGTGATGCTTTTCAAAAATCGTGGTTCTCATGGCTTATTTTTTTTGGATGTTATTTGAAGGATAATTGGGATCTGTTCAAGGAAATCCAAGCAAAGGTCATGAAAAATTTGTGATTCTATAAGAGTTTGTTTGCTAGCATTTGCATTGATTTGTTGTAAGTTAATGGATTCGTTTATTGTTTTCATTTTCCAATATTTCATCCTTTTTTCCTACTCACAGTGAAGGCTGCATAGGATGAAGTTACCCTTCTTGTTGAATGTTTGAGACATGGAGCAGCTGATTATCTTGTGAAGCTTTTAAGAACAAATGAGCTCTTAATTTTATTGACAGACATGTGGATGTTGTAACATCATCTTGAATTTGCTGGAAATTTTGACTTACCAGAAAAATGACCAACACTGGGTCATGTACAAATCGAGCAACTGATAAAGGGTACTGGAAGACAATTGGGAAAGATGGAAGAATCTTGAATTACTCGATGATGTTCATGCTGTTGAGAAAACAAAGTGTTGACCAGAACAAGACCTCTCCTTATCTAGGCGTAGATTTGGTATTTTTGTCTTCCTTTTTTTTTTTTGCCATTTTTAAACAATTTTCATCATGGTTTTGTTTAAATTTTATTTCTCTTTAATGGGTTTTGCGTGACTTTATTTTGGTTTGCTTCTTTATGCTTGAATTTTATCTTATATTGTTGGTTTATAATGATCAAGTGTTGAATACCATTATTTTTGTAGGTACGAAACGAGAGATATCAAAGCAAAACATGGTACATATGAAACTTACAACATTCTACTGGAATGGAATCTTGAATTCTGATTCTGTCAGAATAGAATCTTGAAGATGAACATTGTATGGAATGAAGATGAACAATTACCACCGATCTTCCAAAAAGAATGGATTATTCTACCAGAATAATATATAATATAATGAAAAAAAATAAATATAATAGTATATTCTGGTAGAATGATTCATATAGTGTGTTTTTTTTTTGTTATTAATAAGTGTAACATTCTCATAGAATAGTATATATATTTTTTTTCTTTTCTAAGAATGTAATGAATTTTTTTTTAACTTGTATCCAAAATTTTGTTATTCTTCAAGAAGTTCATTAAATCAAAATATATATTATGTCAGAATGTGTATTCTTGTATGGTTTAATCATATTTGTTATTTTTCAATATATTGATAAAAATATCCCGCCAGAATTTTCGAATTAGGAGAATTATCATACATACAATCAGATTTTTAAAATTAATAGAATCTATTTTCCTTAAAATATGCAATTTTCCTTTTTTAAATTTATGCTAATTGACTAAAATATCCTTAGAATGAAATTAGATGGTATTTTTTAATAATATTTAATTTAATAATATGTATTATTCACTTTCCAAAATTAAGTAAAATGATTGGCCCACAATGATGCATACAATAACACAATACTTAGTTTGAATAGAATAACCTAAGCCTATATATATATATATATATATATATATATATATATATATATCTATATATATATATATATATATAAAGGTGCAAACCCTAACCCTAGGAAAAAGATGCACCCGCCACCCTTATGCCTCCCTTCACCTCCAGCCGCCGCCACCATGCCACGTGCAATTTTGCCATCGAAACGCCACCACCATCACCGGACGTCGTGAACAGCCGAGAGAGAGAACTGCCGGAGACCGGAATCGGAGCTATGAACACGGATGCATGGGTTGTGAACGACGGGAGTGTTGTTGTCGTTTTACAGCTTCAATGAAGACGGAACCACCGCCGAACGTCGCGACTGCCGTTCCCAGCGACGTCGGTTGCTCCTTTCTGCCGTCAACGAAGACTGAGCGGGCGCCTTTTCTGCCGCTGCATCTGTCGCTCACGGTTCCACCATTCTTCTCCTTGTCGCCGATGATACGTTCTAGCCATGACCACCGTTGTTGCCGCTGCTCCGACCGTCGCTGCCACCTTGAGGGCAGCCATGGCGAGTGTGTTTTTCTGTGATTATACTCCCTATTAGCCTCGTGTGTTACTATTGCAGATCGTGTATGTGAGAGTATACGATGGGTGGTCGGAAAACTGAAGAAAAGCCATCACCACCACCGTGAGGTGGTGGCTGCCACCTTGTACCACCACCGACCACCACAAGGGTGGTTGTGCGTGTGTATGTGTGTTATTTTGTGTGTGTGTTCATTTGGATATTGTGTGTATAATTGTATTTTGGACAAAACAATCAAGGAAATCTGTCACCACCACCGCGAAGTGGTGGCCGCCACCGTGAGCCGCCATTAACCACCACTACACGAGGTGGTAGTGGGTGGTGCCCGACTTAATTAACAATTAATTAACCTAAAAGCTTAACAAATGGACTAATTGTATCGCGATTGGGTTGGAAACCCTAATTAGGGTTTAGAAAACCCTAATTTTGGATATGTTAATTTGGAATTGTCGAGACCCGCATGTTTGGACCACTGAATTGGAATTATGAATTAATCCTGACCACATTGTATATTTGAACTAGTAGAGTGACGGACTTAATGGATTAAGTCCTTAATGGGTTAAGTAAGAAACACTTAACCCTAATCTACATTTTATGTGAAAACCCTAATTTTGCTTGGGCCTTGAGTTGGGCCTTTCTATTGGGCTTTGGTGATTGGGCTATTGATGGGCCATCCAAGAACAAGCATATGGACTAGAATATTTTGATGGGCTTTAGGGTAAGGCCCATGTGAGGGGTTTGGTCCCAATTTGGAAAATTGGGCCATAGATGGGCCATAACTGGGCCTTGATGATTATGAGATGTTGGACCATTGGAATGACAAATGTTTGGACTGGAATAAATGGTTGGGCCTTAGGGTAAGACCATGTAGAGGTTTGGGCCCAATTTGGAAAATTGGGCAATATGTTGGGCTTTGGTTCATAGTTTGACTTCTAGGCCTTTGGATTGTGTACCGCCCTTAGATCCGGGCTAGTCAATTTAGAGATAATAGGGTCGAAAACGACTTTTCAACAAAAATATTATTTAGAATAAATAATCTTAACCAAGTTGTGTAATATGTCTCAAGGTTTCTGTACATATAAAGAACGCCGAAATCCGAGTTATAACGAAGAAGTTATGACCCGTCGAAGTTTTACGGCAAAACCGGCACGGCACCGGGAGACGTAAATAGTGAATTTACGATAGAGCGACTTTTAGCCTTAGCAATCTAAACAAAAGTCATAGAAAAC